TTTTATGATGCCAGTAAAGGCTCCCCTTAAACATTTCTCTGCAACAGCCTCCAGCCCCCTACACCCTCCCCACCCCTTCCCTGTTGAAGTCTCTGCCACTCTTTGATCCACCTGGGATACCAGCTCCAGCCTTGTACTACTGCATGCTCAAAAGTCCCAAGTGTCCACCCCCTGGCAGCAGGGAGACAACATTATTGCAAGGAGAGTCTCTTTGTGGGAGGCTGGGCAGGATGACACTAACCAGTCCTACCCTCCTCTCTCCCTGGCACAGGAGGGTGGCAGCCAGTAACCTGGATGTCCTTGCTTTTGTGAGGGCTATGTGATGCCCTGCCAGGCAGAAGTCCTTTGGAGCATTTGCAACCTGTGGACCAGAGCTTTCTGCCCAGCTTGTGCCTCTTGCTCCTGCCTCTGAAGGAGCTTTGGCTCTCAGCCCCCATTCTTGCTCAGTAGATGGATGCTGTGCTTGCCTGCCCCTGAGAGCAGCATTGCAGTGGAGCCACTTGCAGCTGAGACTAATGCTTCTGAGCCCAGTGAATGCACCTGTAGCTCTGGCTTGGTGCCAGGACAAAGCTTGGGATGATGGAAATGCTGCTTGAGCACCCACCCAGCATGGCACTTGTTGCTACAGGTCTGTAACCACTAGGAGGAACTGTTACTCCATTGAGGGTGCATCAAGGTGATAAATTCCTGCGACAGCAGCAAGAAATGCTGTCTCCTCCATCTAGACAGTGAGCCAGATGTATTGTTATCTCCTTTTAAGGCCGTGTAGTGTAGCGCCTTGCCTGAACATGCAAGTAGAAGTTCTTCATCTGCTTGCCTTGCATACCCTCCCCCTCCCTTAGCAGCTGGCCCATTAGACAGAGGTCAGAGTTCCCAGTCTGTTCAAGTATCTGGAGAAGTCCCAAATGCAGGGAATAAAAGTATAGAAAATTTGGGTTGGAGGGGACCTCGGTAGGTCATGTAGTCCAACCCCCTGCTCAAAGCAGGACGATTCTCGGCTAGATCGTCCCAGCCCAGGCTTTGTCTAGCCACGTCGTAAAAACCTCCAAGGATGTAGATGCCACAGGCTCTCTGGGTAACCTGTTCCAGTGGCTTAGTATCCTCATGGCTGAAGCTAAGTTGTCCCACCCTTGGTTTGCAGGGGGGAAAGGGGAGCTTGTCTGAACTGAGGAGCTGCTCCTAACTGCCTGCCTCTTCCCTGGCTGATGGAGCAGAGAGGATAAAGAAATGCATTTCATGGGCTCCCTGTCTCACTTCTTGAGGCAGTGGCAAAATCCAAGTGGTATTTTTTTTTTCATGGCCTTTTAGTCCTTCTCTCAGCAATCCAAACCATGTTCTTGGTGAGCAGCCAGGACCATGCCACTGACCTACCATGCCATCTGCTGACTAGATGGAGTGTATTGCAAAACCCATGCCATTGAGCAGACTAAACAAGAACCTTTTGCTAGCCCTTGTGGGCTGGGGACTAAGCCCTGACCTGTCAGCAGTGCTATGTGAGCTTTAGGGCTGTGAGGAGGTCACCCCAATGTGTAGCTCTGGCAAACTCCCAGCAAGAAGGCAGCTCTGCCAGCAGGGTTGTCTTGCCAGAGAGCTGAGGTAGCTCTGGGAGCAGAAATGCTCCTGCCAGTAGAGCTGTGCCAGCATCAAGGAGTCTGGCAGGTGCTGCTGTGTAGATGTGGCCTCTTCTACATCACCCAGATAGGGAGGTGGAGGATAGAGTACAAAGCCAGACAACTAGATGCATGCGCCAAGCACTTTCTTGGCCAGCATCACAAAGGCTGTAGAAAGGCTTTGGGGGCCCTCATGTGCCAATGCATGTCCTGAGGTGGGATCCCCTCAGCATGACACCGAGCCATGCTCTCTCCCTCTCCTGCAGTGCTTGATTCCAGTGATGAAACCATAAATGAGCCCTGACCATCGGGCAGTGGCAGCTACTGGCATG